GACGATTTCTTAACCCCAGTCTGGGTTTTTTTGGGTGCTAGAAACGCGTTCCCCCCCCCCGCCTTCCTGGTACCGCGAGGGGAGGTGGCTGTTCTGCGTAACAACAGGCGGGGTGCCGCTGAGTGGCTCTGAGGTGCAGCAGCTGGTGCTCCTGGATGTGGCTTCAAGTAACGCACCTGAAGCGGCAGCTTGTTCAAATCGCACCAGAAAAGTTAATTCCAGATCTTACAGCTGAGCGTGACCCACCCCTCGGCAAAGCCCAGGCGCCTGCTGGTTGTTGCCAGTGACTTGCAATGAGCCCTGCCAGCTACCGGCACGTTGTGCTTTTGTGGCACCCTTCCCCAGGCCAGCTGCCGTCATTTCTTTGGAGAATTTCAGCTGCGTTATTGTATTCCTTCTCCTCAGCCCCTCCTCTGTCTCTGACTGAAAGGGTTGTATCGTAGTGAGGAGCTCCATCCAGCTCCCACACTCCTCTGGAGTTTCACGGTTTCTAATGACCTCAGTGTATTTTTTTACATTATTTTCTGTTTAGAAACTTTGGAACAAAACCTGATGATGTAAGCATGTAAGTGTACAGTGGCCTTTCAATAATTCAGTTGTTTGAATTAATATAGTCATTGTTTTTTCTCGTTGGGATATGAATGTGGGTTTTGAAGTTTAACTTACCGTTTAGGGGGATTTGTGCATCAGAGAAGTTACCAGCAGATTTAACAGACAATGCTATGTGACTTCCCCCCTCCCCCTAGCTTAGATGTCTGTAAATTTGATTTCAGTTTCTTTCCAAAGCAGGTGGGTCAGTAAAACTTTAGCTGATACAAAATGCAAGTAACGCTCGCTTTTCTCCCTGTCAAAATGGCTTATAAGGATTTAGTGAATTTGCTCTGCTGCAGGGAATGCCCATTTCCCCAGTGAGTACCGGCTTGTGATGCGGAGTGTGATGAGAAACTCATCTGGCCACTCACAGCACGCAAAGTTCTCAAGAATCCTAAGGGAAGAAATGAAAAGTCTTGTTTTCTTTTAATTAGCATGATACCCCTTTTAGGGTGTGCGCTGTAACATCAGCGTATGCCCCAAAACTAATTACGGTAATAGAGAATTGCAACTGATCCACAAGTTGCCTTTTTTTTCCATCTAGAGTGTGGAAAGACTCACACTGGTCCTGATGGATGTTCTGGATTCAATACCAGAAATCATTTGTTTAGTACTAGAAATAATCAGAGGGTCATAGTAAGTTTTTCAAAGGTCACAGACCGTGTTCCTGAGGTTTGTTTTTAGAGGCAGTTCTTGGCTGTGCTAGCATTGGACAGAGCGCCTTTGCTTGGCCTGCTGCCACTTCCAAATTTAAGTCAGGTCTGTCCTGTTAAAAGACCAGAGGGAGACACCAGCTCACAGAGTCACTGGCAAGTGAGTTCTTTCCAAAGGTAGGATATTGTGCTTTCTTCAGACTAAAGTCGGTACCTAATCAAGCTTAGAGCTGCTGTGATTCTGCACAAGGGCTTCCTTAGGAAAAAAAATGATTTTTTTCCCTTCTTTTTATCCCCTCACCTTTTAAATGACACCTTTTGATTTCTGAAAATAGCCTCCCCGTTGCTGACATTTGTCGTGTAAAGGACAATGTGATTCTAGGTGGCTGAAGCTACAGGAGAATAGGTGTTGCTTAGGGAAACGACCATGTTTTAGTTTCTTTTAGGGCTCGATCTCACCTTTGCTGCCTTTGCTGCGCTCTTGACCTTATTAACTAAGATCCTTGTTCCTTTGGAAATCATTGTCCTGGCTTTTACAGGATAACATCCAGTTTTTGTTTCAAGGGGAAGATTTTTTAAAAATGGGTATGTGTGATGTATTTCATGGTAAGCCTTTCAAAAAGTTTCCAATCGCCTGTATTTGCGGACGTTATCAGTGTTCCTATTTCTGCTGTCTGATAACCTGCATGTTCCCATCCTGCCTTTTGAGATGGAGAAGTGACAGTTACGGGACTTTATTGAACCAAGTATCTGCAGGAGAGAAGCCACTGCTCGTAATCTGGTGTCATAAACATTGTCAAGAATTATTAACAGGTTTTTTCCGGAGTTAATAGCCAAATTTGTGAGCAAAGGTGATCATGGGGTCTCAGACTTTTGAGCAGGAGGTCTGAGGATACCCAGTTCATCTCGAATTTGGTGTGGAATCCCGTGTGTTCCCTGCCCTCCCCCATGTTTTTAATGTGCCATGGCGTTAGCTGCCCTGGGATGTCCTTAGCTTCTTCAGTGTTATCTATCTTAAGTTGGGTTTTATGCTTTTTGTCGTCTTCTCCCAGCCTTTCTCTTGCAACTTAGCATGTTAGCTGGTGTGACTCAAGTCTTTTTAGTCTATGATCTCATTCTCCTTTAGATTGCAGCTGTTTTTACCTCTGGCTTTTGCAGCAAATAACCCTAATATTGAACAGAATATAACTTCTTATTTGGGTTGCAGCAATTTTTTCCTTTGGCCTTTCCACCAAATAACCCTGAAAAGTGAACAGAACTTCACTCCCACCCTGTTGTGCCAGTAGCCTGGCACTGGGCTCCATAAGATGGATGTTGGTGAACATGACTGCAGTATGGCTTGAGCCGATTTCCATGCTCTCTTGTTCCACTGATATTTATTTTGTCAATGATTTTTTATAGCATGTTCAATATGACAAGCTAAAATAAGGACTCATGGCTTTGTGATATAAGCTGGTCTATGAAATTAAAGAAAACCTTGTTGCTGAAGGTCTGAAGTGCTACAGGAATTCTGTCTTCTTTCCAAAACAATTTGGTTCAGCTAGGTTGTCCTCTTTCTCCAGCCTGACTGAACTGACATTTTCTTTGTTGAGGGCTCTTTTTAAGGGGCCATTTGAGTACATTCCTTGGAAGAAGGTACTGCAACAGTATGCCCTAATAAAAAAGGGTCTACATCTCTGATCAGCTAGTCCCTCTCTCTCTTGCTCCCCTCCTTCATCCAGTCTTTCTCTTCCCCATCCCATATTTCCCCTTCCCATCTATCGGAGGGAGTCACCTGCTGGTTCATGCTCTAGCCTGGGAGCTGCAAGGTGGGTTGCTGCTGCTGACTGGGTGCATGGCTTGCTGCAACCTGTGGGCAGAGACTGGGTAATTTGCCCAGTTCCTGTACAGAATAGGGGGGGGGGGGGAGGAGGGGAGGAGGAAAGACAGACAATAAAAGGCTAGGAAAGACTTTTCAAATGAAAAAAGGATAAAAGGCAGACCTTCTTTGTTTGGAAAGTAGATGAATAAGGGGTATGATTAAGGAATAAGTTAAGCAGGCATAACTGGTTCATAGTGATGAGCAATGGATGCTACATGACCAAAACATGGTTAGCTTTTAGTTGGTAGGCTTGGGGACTCTTTTCCACCAGCCCCTGTGGCAGAGGGTTCAGTCCTTGCAAAGTCAACCTTTATTTTTGCCAAAGAATGTGAAAGAACCACGCTGTAATCACACGTGGGACTCCCTCCCATCTCCTGGTGTGGATCAGTTAGAAAAGCTGTCAGAAAGGCCCTGTCTTCCCAGTTACCTTTTTATCTGCTTTACCCCGTTGTCTGCGTTTTACTGAAATCAGAAGCAAAGCTGGTCAGGGCCAGATTTTTAAAATGCCTCAGCTCCAACCTGGGCTCACAGGGGAAGTGCCACTCCACCTGCCAGCTCCCACTTTGGAAATAACAAAAGGTCCTAAATCGGAGCTGAAGATTTTTTATTCCAAAATGTCCTGTAAGCCACGCTGCTCAGTGTCAGCACAGAGCCTGTTGTCCCTGCCCACATCTCATCTTCTGAATCTCAAGAGACCTTTAGAGCAAAAAAAAAAAGGGGGGACACACACACACACGACATAAAGAGGGCAGCTGCTTTAAATGACAAGCTGAACAGGAACCAGTCAGCAGCACCTCCTGCGTATCCAGCCTAACGAAGGCCAGTGCCCTTGTGTCTAAACAGCTCTTTCCCAGGAATTGTTTTAGGGGCAAGACGCACTCTTACATTAAAACAACTCTAGCAGTCCTCTGCTGTAAATCAGTACAAAATGTGCCCTCTGTGTGCACTCAGCCCAAAGAGGGGGAGGAATGAGGCGCTGCTCTGAGCAACTGGTTGCTGCGCTCATGCGCTGCTTTGCAATGGAATGAGTTTAATCCTCCTTTTGGGTTTCCGATTTCCCACTCTGGGCAAACTCCCTACGCCCAGGGGAGCTTGCGGCCTGCATGTCCAGCTGCATTACGCGCGGTGTATTACACAGGGACGGACTCTAGATACATGAGTTAGCTCAGGAGTGGGAAGCTCCGTAGTACCCCGAGAAGAGTTGTGTATTACCTTGATGGTTTTATTTTTAGACCTTGTCAAGTGCATTTAGAGCTAGCTCAGCTATCTTTATGCGTTATTTTATTGTGTTCTAGCTATACCTCCAGAAATACTTATTTTATACAGTTCACTACTCTTTCAGCAAGCCAGTCTGTTCACTGACCAGCTACTTGAGGAATTCTGTCCAAGGCCCTGCTGGAAATCTGGAAGAGCCTGACATTTTCCACATTAGCTCTGTTCCACGGCATGTAGAGCCTTCAGCTCCATACAAGCTCAGTCCTACTTAATGACACTGAATTCTGGCTTAGCGTTATTAGTTACCTCTTGTTTACTGCTTCTCATGCTGTCCTTTTGTTTGAAGTAGTGAATGAGTTGTGTGCCCTTTCCAGTATCTTCCTGGTAAAGGCCTATCTTGCAAGAATTCAAACTCTATCTGCACAACAGGGAAGATACACTAATATTTGGTTTCGACTTCATGTACGACCCAACGGTTGTATAGATTCCAGGAAGGGGTTGTAACTGACTTTACTGTGACATCAAGCATAAAAGCTTGGGGGTAGACACAGTGGGAAAATCAGTGACCTTTTTGACAGCAGAAGTATCACTTACTTTTTGGCCATGTAGTAAGCTGTAACATAAACTACTCCCTTGAAGGCAATGGCTTAGCAAGGAGATTAGGGCTATGCATTGGTATCAGAATCCAAATCCAGGATGAGCTTGGTCTCTAGCCTACTTTTAAAGCCCAAACCTTTAGCTTGGGTTTCATTCACAGGTTTAATTTCAGCATATCAGAGCACAGGTTTATGCTGTTAAACTGCACAATTAACGTTGGCATAAAAGTAAAGAGCATGAATGTGGGCTTTAGCCTACCAGATTAGACATGTGGTTCATTTAAATCAGACAACTTGTCTCTGCTAACAGGTGGTGAAAGACACTGGAGATGGAAGCACAGATTTCAGTGCATTAAGCAAATAAAGTGCTCAGGGAGAAAACTTACTCCGAGCCTCCAGAAGACAGATTGGCTTGTATACATCTGGGATCATACACAGTAACTGGTGTATGGCATGTGGATACTGTGGTACGGGCTGTTCTAGAGACATCTAAGAGGTGTTATTACAATCAGAAGAAAGCAGAGATGTATCCCAGCCTGGAGGAGCTTTCACTCTAAATACACGTTGTACAGGAGAGTGCATCTAGAGCAAAATGTGGGAACAGCATCTCTGAACCCAAGTTTGTTACATGACAGCTGACAAGATCCAAGGCCAAGTGTCCTGCTGGGACGTTCAGATTAGCATTTAAATGCTTAAAATTGGGTACTGATGTCAACTTTTGCAGGTCTAAATAAAGGGATGAGGAAATCTGTTGAAGATACCTCTGTATGGGATTCGGTTTACTGGTGGTCTAAGGCAGGGTTAAGATAAAGGACTTCCCTAGTTTTCAAGCCTCTGCTAATTTTCCTGATGGTGAAACGGTCTGTTTCCTTTCACTTTGTGGTTTTTTTTAAGAGCGTTCAGAAAGGAAAACTCATGGATCTCACAAGCACAGTGATCATCCCGCTGCTGTTTGGCAGCTTGGGGATCTTCGGCCTTTTTCGGCTACTGCAGTGGATGCGGATGCGAGCTTACCTCCAGGAAGCAGTGGTCGTGATCACAGGGGCTACCTCTGGCCTGGGAAAAGGTAGGTACCGAGAGAAGGGCGCCAGTGGCAGGACAAGCAGGGGGTTGTGGAAGGGGCACCTGTTGGAATAAAGCAGTAATGAGCAGAAAGTTCCCATTGCTCTGAATTTTGAGAGACAGAGCTTGCACAGCCCTATCAGTTATAACTATAGCCAGCACAAACCCTGATGCAAGAAAGTCTCAAAATTTGTTGAGGAACATTTTAATCATGCTGTATAGACTGGAGCTCACCAAAGTAAGGAACAAGTTATACTATTCTCGTACTGTCGGGGGTATTTCCTCTAAATCCTGAAAAGTCAGATTGTTTCTCTAAAAATTCCCAGAACGGGTGTTCTGCATTCATGTGTGCTGTATTTCCAGGTACCCTGCCATACTTCCCACTCCTCCTCCCCGCCTCTCACCTCCACACTAAGGTACCTTTTCTCTTGCGGTACAAATCCATCCGTTCTAAATTCAAACTCTTGGCAACATTAACACCAGTGAGTATATTTTTCTAAATAAAAACACAGTATTTTTTTTTACCCAAAAAATTTGTTCTTTGGATATATTCTCTAATTCTGATTTCTATAATTGCTTTAAAAGCTTCCTGAAGGGAAGATAAGGTGCTCTCTGTAGTCAAGGCCTTTCATTAGGATGAATACATTTGTGGAACAAATCGAGCTTAAATTGATGCTGTCTTCGCATGTGGGTTTGTCCTTTCGGATCGGGGTGTTCAGTAACTGAATGGCCAAAGGAGGTGAAATGGTCCTCTCTGCCTGTCAGAATCAAAGAGCTGGTAGCAGTGAAAGAATTTGTATTTCACACCGGGACGAGATAGAACTGGTTTCTCGAGAGAGACCTTCCAGCTGCGACAGGCCGGGCAGGCGAAGCGCTGTGTGGTGTTGGGTGTGGTGATTTCCACCGCTGTACAGTGAAGTTTCCTCCCTTATTGGCTCACTGCCAAGATCTTACACTATTCCCATCACTCCCAGTCATTAATATACTAGACCACCTCTAATTACTGTGTTCTTAAACACCCTTCATTACCATCCACTGTCATCTCCTGCACAAATAAGCAATTTGTCTCACTGGATCCCAGCGGGGTAGGGTAGAAGAACGTGCAATTGCCTCAGCAGCTGGTAGCACTGAAAGGAGGACAATAGCATGGCATCCCTTCTTCAGCTTTTTCCTGATGAAGAGGACCACCTTGATGAAGCCATTAGCTCCAAGGCTTGTGAAACTTTTGGAGGTGTTCACTAAAACTGGGACTCCTCAGACCAGGCCCTGCTGCATTAGATGACCTATGCAAGGTAGCTGTAGTCCCTTTTAAGAGGGGCATATAGTCCAAAATGAAGAGGCACAGGCAAATTCAGGTTGATGGGAGCGGATGCGTAAACAGCACGATAACTGCATAACCAGCACAGTAACTGTGAACACAGCAGCCACCTCACCGCTGTCACGTGTCTGGCAAAGTCCCAGGAAAATGGCTCCTTGCTGTGACGTCACCGTAAGTGAGCCTATGGTTCAGGAGTGATAAAGCCACCTTAGACCTCATCAGCTAAAAGAAGTTTTCGCCTGTCACCAGGTACGCTGTGGATTTGCTATTTGTCTCTGGCATTCAAATGTCTACTTTTCTCTCTTCCTTGCTTCCTCCAAAGAATGTGCAAAAGCCTTCCATGCAGCTGGCTCCAAGCTGGTGCTCTGCGGCAGAGACAGCGAGAAACTCAAAGACCTGGTGCAGCAGCTTTCTACCATGACCAATCACCGGAAGAATGTAAGTCTGGGAGGAGGCAAGGCTTGTTGTCTCGTGCAGCTGGGATTTCTGTTTGTGTTACTACAGCAGTTACAGAATTGCTTGTGGGTTGTTCTGTTGAGCAATAGGAAAAATGCAACTCTGTGGTGAGGGATAGATAGTGCTGTAGGAGCACACTGAGCTGACGTGTTGTATCTTGTAAAAACCCTACAAAAAGAAGCCAACTGAAAGACTCCTTGCCTTGTAATGGAGGTGAAAGCATATGAGAGTGCAGAGTGCCCAGACCCCCTTGCATTTGTGCGTCACATACTGAATCTGGGAAAGTGACTTTCCTTCTGTTGACTTTTATTTACCATGTCTAGTTCTGCTGACAGTGGCTAAGAAAGGTGTTCCTGGCTTCTGAAGAAGACATATGGGTTAGATTTTTTGCTATTTCAGATGTGTTTTCTTTAGTAAGACAATAGCAAACTTTAGCAGTTGAGCAAGATCTCACTTGCCCCTTTCCTAGGCTCTGGTATAAGTAACAGGCTCCAGGAACAGTAAAGACAAGAGCACAACCTGCTTCTGTCGTGTGTTCCTACCAAACAGGACTGCTGCACCCTAACTGCACAAGGCTTGGATGGCCCTGCTTCTGTGCTCCCAGAGCTGGGACATCCCATCACAACTGTGAACATACAGCAGATTCAGCATGCCCTGAACTGGTCTTTTGCCAACTTTTGTTTATTCACAGACACACAAGCCTCACACCGTGGTATTTGACCTCTCGGACACTAAAACTGTCCTAAATGCTGCTGAAGAGATCCTGAAGTACTTGGGTCATGTGGACATACTGATCAACAATGCGGGCATCAGTTTCCGAGGCACAATTGTGGACACAGGACTGGATGTGGATAAGAAAGTGATGGAAACTAATTATTTTGGTCCTATAGCCCTCACCAAAGGTACCGGTGATCCGGATTACAGGGGGACAGTGGACTTGGCTGATACTTTCTGCAGGCTAACACAGCTGAGCGCAGCTTAACTTCTGTTTGTAATTGTGTTTGGTACAGTGCAGTGTAAGAGGGGAGGAAAGTTTTGTTTTCTGGGCAGGCCTAAAGGAGATGGTTGGGCATGACTGCATGGTAAGTACCCGATTAGAGATACCACCTTGTTTAAAACACCTCCTGACTCTAGTTCTGGCAGGAACTTATGAAGAGAGAGATGGGAAGCCTGTCTGCACTGATAAAACCCTAGAGAACATAGTATGGCTTCTAGGTGAAGCTGTAGCTTTTCTAGGAAGCTTCTTCCGTTACACAGAAAGTTCAGCCTGGAGTACGTCAGCTGCAGGAAATGGAAGGATGTACTGGTGGCAGAAAAGAAGAAGTCCTGCTCACCGTGCCTGTAGGAGATCATGGCAACTGTAGTGGCCTTTGTGCAGCCTGGTACAAGGAGTCTCCTCGTAGGTGAGCCTCCCAGCCAGACTGCAGCTTCAGTTAGAGGCATCCTAAGCACTGTCCCTTGCCCAGCCCCAGCACTGAACAAGGATCTTGTAATTCACTTAGGCATCTTTGAATGCTCCGAAAGCATCGATTCTTGACAGCAGCAATGCGGGACTGTTATTCTGAATGGGTCTTTTCTGTCTTTTGCTAGCACTTCTCCCCTCCATGATCAAGAGGAGACAAGGCCACATTGTGGCCATCAGCAGTGTTCAAGGCAAAATAAGCATTCCTTTCAGATCCGCATGTAAGTACCTCCACAGAAGATGGGGGAGACATATTTGGGGCACCGGACTGAATGAATACTTGGCTACCACTTCCACATTTAGTTCTCCGTAGAGCTGGCTGCATGCAGGGAAGGCAGAGCTGTGCGTCACTCCTAGCGTGGTCACAAACCACTGACAGCTGTTGAGGAAAGCACCCTCAAATACAAAATCTTAGCCCTTTCCTTAAGTTGTTAAGGGGTGGGAAAGGAGAATATATTTTCAATGTCTTGAATACAGCTTGATCTTCCTGTCTTAACACTTGAGAGTCCCTATAAATTTGCTGATTAATTCCATAATTTTATTGCATTTTATCCTTGCTGTTTGCCTGGTTAATCTCCTGTGAGAAAGCAGGATGGTTTTGTTTTAATAAGTTAAGAAGTACCATAGTACAACCAATGCCAAAATAAAAACCTGAACAGTTATCTTCATCCAG